AATAATCTTCAGTGTGAGATCAAATACACAAATAAAACCAGATTTTTTTTTATGCTTTTCACATTAACCAGCTGCAGTGGCTGTGGAAATGTTGCGCCTTGACATAAAACACCAAGTTATCGCACAGCACCATGTAATCTCAATGCCCTGCTTTAAATTATTGATTATCAACGGGCAACAGCTATGACCGAAAACTGATACCAACCAAATTCACTTGCATTACACAGGAGAAGGCTCGGTGATCAAAATACAAGGTTTCAAATAAGGGTATCTGATATGTGACACCGGACACATGCCGTCTATGTTATGGTAACAAGTGGCAAACACACCAGCAGCCCAGAGAAAAACACACCGATTCTTCAAAACAGAATACAGGCTTGATTTAGCTAGAGTATTTGTACATGTAAAAAAAAATAAAATAAAATAATAATTCATATGCAGAAACGTGTAAAATGTTACAATAAAAAAGCCATATTTACATAAATCTAGCTGTCATCCAGCTTTCCTAGGACATAGCATACGATCAGCAGTGGATAAAACTTTTCTAACCAGAGCCATTCTGTTTATAAAACCATTATTAACCTTCTCATCCCCTTGCTGTATTTTGTTTCTTCTTATCTTCACTCAGTGGCTTACTTCAAGGTGTCCTGGAGTGAAATCCTATTCAGGAAAGGAGCTGCGGCAGATGAGTCTGACACTGCTGCTGAATTATTGATTGATCTATTACATCACATACATTTAACAACCCAGAGGATCCACAGCTACACACACAGGTCGACAGACCCAAAAAAACCTCCACATCCGCACAGCCTAATTTTACAGCAAATCTTTCTATGCTTCAACTTTTCACCTTCTATTTTCCTGCAGAGCTCTGAGCAACTGTTCTTTGCTTTCATCTTTGCAAGAGTCCTGCAGAAAAGCTGCAAACTGCTGAAAGGAGGGAGTATGAGGCAGTGTAGTGGCCCTGTTCAATAATTACAGCAAATATAAGATCGATGGAGGTCAAATCATCTCGAATTTCAAGGCACTTGGTAATCTGGTTTGAAGATGCGTATCGGTGGAGCAAGCTAAATTTGATTTCAAACACAGCAAATGTGCGACGAACTGGGTGAGTGAAACCCAGAGCAGCGAGGAAGGGAAACCTGAAAATGGAAGACGGCAGGAACATTATCTAATAGAAGAACCGAGACGAGTATTAAAGGGATAAAAAGTCAAACATATAGGAACATTTTGCATGTGAATAATGATTTTTTTCTATTCTTCCCATCATCCCTTGCTCTGTGATCTCCTCCCCTCTCCATTACCCCTCCCTTCATACCCACAATGCTCTTGTCCTCGATACATAATGCAGAATATCTCATTCTTCCCCCTGCTGAGGCATTGTACATCCTGTAGCATAACTCAGTGTGTGTTTGAAACTGGGCTGAGCCTCTCTGCAGGCTCTCTGTGGTTAGAGTACAATAACATTAATCAACCATTACAGTGGCTCACAAAGCCCTGGATAGCTCATCTTGCTTTTATTTCCAACAATACACGATCAAATGAAGCAGGTGACACCCAGGGATACTGACCAATATGTCTAAAGATAACACATATGGAGCGAAGCAGACTCGTCTAATATAAACACACACTAAAATACATCATCCAACTACAGTTTATACTGACCAGTGATGCGCGCCGAAGTCTGCGGCTCATGGGTTTGTCAAAAGGCGGGCTGTTCATGGCAAACTTCTCCAAGTAGCCCTCTGGCAGTCGGATATCAGCAGGGAGAGACAACCGCTTGTTTATGTCCTGAGAAAGAAAATAAGAAAGGAATGCTAGATGCGTGCATTTAGATTGAAAAGGTTAACTTAGATTTTTAATTTTACATGAATTCAACTCTACTTTGAGGCATCATTAAAGCGTTTGCCATCCAAACAGCAAGAAATCACAGGATCTGATGTAGCCCAGAGCAGCATTGATTACCTGTAAATGACTCTGGCTGGTTAACAGTCCTGCCTCTGGACGACTGACAGAAAATATTTAGTGTATTATGTAACCATATTAAGACAAAGGAGATGATGCACACTTGTGCTTTTCAAATCCATCAAGTTTTTTTTTTTTTTAACAAAAACCCAGAAGACAATTTCTAATTGCAAACTTTAGATCAGAAATCTGTCCTGCTACTTTTAGATGTGTGTCTGTCTGAACATACCTTAATTAAAATATTAGCTTATTAGCAGGTCTCTGTACAACTTGACTAGATGTGCTGTTCAACAATTTGATTTAGGTGTATTGGACCAGAAAAAAAAATCTAAAAGTTACAGTACTGCACATCTCAAGTGATGGAGTTTCAAATACTGGGTATCTTCTAAAAGTAAAAAAAAAAAAAACATAAAAAAAGGGCTGAAGAAAGCCTACAATTCAGAACAATAAATAAAATTGTGATAAAACACTGATCAGACCTTTATTGGCCAATCATGATTTTCAGTTTTCTTTTAGTATAACCTGCAGATTACACTTTTGGACTATTCAGATATTTTTCTTTTCCCACAAGGGATATAAAGTATGAAAGAAGAAAAAAATGCTGCAGGTGATGAGTTAATACTTGCAACCCAACAGAGAGTTAAAAAATTACAATATCTGATCTTGAGTAACCTCAAAAAAGTGCATTAAAGCTGAGATGCATTTATAAACCAATAATAGTACCAGTTATCAGTTTTTAAGTTTCCTTTCTTTATTCCTTTATGCCTATCAAGAAAAAGTTTAACAATTTTGATCTCAGATCGATAATTTGTTTTGTTGTTGTTTAACAAATAGTAATCACTGCAGCACCTAACAACTTGAATATTTTAGCTAAAGGTAAATTATATTGTTGTATATTGTAATTAAATTTAGATGATAACATTTTTTAACCTAGTCTTTAGTTACAAAGCAGGTCACCATAGAAATGCTTTTGAATAGTTCTTGCATGCTGCTTACTCTAAAACGACTGAAACAACTTGTCATTCCCTACAATAAATTGCCTGTTATGTGTTATCCATGTAAAACATATTCACCAGTGCCAGTCACAATTTGTTTCCATGGCACCTGCAGCTGATTGGCCAAGCCCCAACACCCCCACAGTGTGACTTCTTGATGTGAGCGTTCAAAATAATCTGTGTAAATTTACATGAGAACATTGGCTTCAGGCTACATGAGGGTTTGTGTATCTTTTGGGATAAAATATTAATAATAATAGATGAATTTCAGTGCTGGTAGAAGTTTTATCTGAGCTGAAGTTGCATCAACCAGATTAACAGCAGGCATCTCAACAACACAGACGCATAACAAACATGTAATGGCGTGTCTGATGCTTTAGCAAATGGTTAATAATTTCAAGCAAAAAAAACAAGAAAAAAGAGATGGTAAATATGCTTTTGAACTTCAACAAACATTTGAATGAAAAACAGGAATAGAAAGATATTGCAATGTCTTTAATAATAAGAGAAGCCTTCATTCATGTGCCCTGTTTGAGGGGCAAAAATGGTATGAGTCACAAGTTCACAAAGGCACTGGGACGCATACACACTCACTCACTACTACAGATTCAATAAATCCCCCCACACCCACACACACAAATACACACGTGCATTCCCCATACTCACAATGCAGATCAGCTCTAGTAGCTCCCTCATTGTCCTCACATGTGTTTTTCAATGCACTTACACACACATGCGCTTTCAACAATGTATATATCTGTGACCTGATACATGACTGCACACACAGTGAGGGAGAGCGAGGGAGAGAGAGAGAAAGAGAGAGAGAGTGGGCTGGCACTGTGGTGGTGTGCCATCCACATGCTCAAAAAGAAGGAGGAGGGGAAGGAGGAGCAGAGGAATGGACAGATTCCTGAGGGGGAAAAGGCAAATGGGGGGAAGGGGTGAATAAAGGAGGGGTGATGAATATGGAGAGAAAGCACTGCTTTTATCGTTCTTTGCCCTTCATTTCTCCATCAGGGTACTTTAGCATCCTCAGATGCATAACCATACCTCTGCCTGTCTTCCTTATAGCAAGAAATATTTCACCCCAGCATGTTTTGCTCCCACACTATTCCCCCCCTCTCCATCGTCTTCCTGCCTCTCCACGTGGTAAACATGCTCTAAATTAGTCCTTTCCACTGCTCACATCAGTCAGAAACTGGGCACCCAGAGGCATTTCCAGTAATACTGCTGTGCTCATCAGTCTGCAGCTCCTTCGTAAAGATGCAGACTGACTGAGGCTTGAGGGAAGTGTTACATTCAAAACAAGGTTCTGAACAGAAACCTTAGCTGAGTGCAGTTAGCACAGGTACAGTTACATACATGCAATGATAAATGGAAAACCTGTTTCCGAGATGTGTCTTTGCTCGGAGTGCACACCAACAGTGGACAGAAAAGTTGTAAATTATGCTGGTTTCGTTTTCATAATTTAATGAAACCAATTAATAAGTCATTTTGTCAACGCCATTGGCATCTGTGAGATACACACAAGGTGCCTTGTGAGATTTGCTCCTCCTGCAGCAGCTGCAACGGTGTTAAATGTCAACAGCGAATGCTGCAAATACTCTGCAGTTTACTGGTGATAAAACCAACAGGCTTCTCTGATAATTCAGCTGTAAGAGTGTGGTGTAAAGACTTAAGACCCTACACCACTTAAATTGGCTGGAGAAATTAATCTGAGGACTTTTACTGGTGACAGAAGCCTAAAAAATCTGGAAAGCTAATGGTACAAACTTGTACTAACAACAACACTTTTCGATGCTGAAGTTTTTATTGAAGGCAGAAGGCTCAGTTTGTTAATTTCTGTAAAACGTGATGTGGGTAACAACTAAAAGAATAAGCATCGGACAGTAATATTAGACAATACTTATTAGTCTAAATAGTAAATTAATAACTTGCTCAAAATGTAATCACATTTTTGAGCCAATATTGTAATAACAAATTATCAATATTGTAATAAGTTATGAAGTAGTGGGTGTAACATAAAAATAATCTTTAAAAATTGTAAAGTGGAGTTTTAGGTTATTATACACAATTAGGACTGCATGTTTTACATATAGTGGTTTTCTAAGTTCTTGTTTTACAAATACAGTGATCTGCCGTCTCCAGGAAAAACACAAAAAGGTTGCTGCTTACAGTTACTGATTCTAACCACTTTAATCCCAACATACTAATCCTACATTTATGTCAGATAAAGACTATTCAAAATGTCAACTTTGTCACACATTTGTCTTTGTTTTAAAAATAGAAAAAAAACAGTTTTACCCTGTCTGGTTTTCAACACAGTGTGATGTTGTCTCTGCTCTAATTATGTCAATGATTAACGACTACTCATAGCAAAGAGATATTAAAAACATTATAAGAGTTGGATAAAAAAAGAAATTATTGGCCGAATAGAGCTTTAAAAAAACCTAAGATAAGAAGTAATCTACAAAACTCTGATCCGACTATTTTTCCTCTCTTTTCATTCTTACTTATTAGCTCATCACTTCCTTTTGATCACTGTTTTATAAAAAAAAAAAAAAAAAAAAGCTGTTGACACTAAAACTGCTGGGTTAGGTTTAAGGACCAAACCTACCAGAAATTTCTGCCACCTAAATAAGACCACTCTGGATCCCAATATAACAGTACCAAACCCAGTACTGTTTAGATTTATAAGTGTGCCCAATCTGTCAAGATAGCTCTACAATCTGATACCCCTTAAAGTTCTGGTACAGAGTGAAATGGATGGTGGTGGAGAGAAGATCTCACCACAGCTTCTGGTGTCAAATCTCAAATGATTAATATTTCCAGGTGTTCTCTCCTCAGAGGAGTCTGTCAGGTATAAAAGCCTTAGTGTATTTGTGCCTCTGAGCTTCATGCACCTCATTAGATATGCGCCGATGATGATTGTTCCTCATGCGAACCCTCACTGGACTCTGAACCTCGTCAGAGGATGTCCCAGACGCTTGATCACTTTCACCATCTGAACCCATCTTCACATTTTCATGGACGATACCTGCAACACACACAAACACAGGCAAAGTCACTCTTTGGTTCAGGAACAAACAAAACACACTTGAAATAGATTTTGTAAACTTATACAGACTTATTTATTGATTTGCTAATTAAAACAAGCCATTGTCCTATATAGTTGTAATGATCCAGTGTCTTACAAAATTATTCCTTTCTAATGCTTTGTGTTTTTCACATTACAAATGCAAACTTTAATGTACTTTATTGGGATTTTATGTAACACTAAGTGACATATTATTTGTCAATGTCCCCCCTGGGGATTAATAAAGTATCCATTCATCCATTCATTAAGTCATTGTGATGACATACAGGGTATTCAAATCTAAATCAAACAGATGCAACACTTTGCACATTTTTATTTTGAAAATCATTTTTTTTTTTCCTTGGTCAATAACAAAGTAGGTGATTGACCTACTTTGTGTTGGTCAATCATATCAAAGTCCTAAAAAATACTTTCAGGTGTGTCACTGAAACACAACAGAGTGTGAAAAGGTTCCTGGGGTATGCATACTTTAACAAGGCTCCGAATCCTTGTCAGATTCCCTGTTCAATGAAAGCCAAAGACAGATCTCCAGATGATTGATGGCACCACCAGTAATAGGAAGGGGTGTAAGCCAAGTGTGTGTAAAATGGCACTCATAAGGTGAGGAGGTCAGAGATCAATGTAACTGCATGGAACAGGAGGTTTCCCATCTCTGCTTGCCACCCCCAACACCTTCATCTGGCCTAGAATCCATCTGATTAATGAGTCATGGAGCAGCTGACAAGACCGCCTCCATCATGTTGGTGTGTTTGTGAGGTAAAAGTGGGGGAAGGGACAAAGCGGTTTCAACTTGCTGTCACAGAGACTCTGGGTCATGAACAGCACATAACACACGTGTTTGAACCTCGGTGCTTGTGTTCACGTTTTCACCGAGTTTATTCAAAGAAAGGGAAAGCATTTAAAAGTAATCTGCCATAAACTGCAGTGTTTACACTTGATACAGCCAGTCAGCTTGAGATAAGACATTCAGTCAGAGATTAGGAGGTTACAGGGAGAGTGAACATGGAGGAGAGAAATGATTAGAAAGGAAGAAAGATAACTTCCTTGACTGACTGTGACACATCAGCCATGGGATTTAAAAACTCTGGGCCAGAAAAGTGAGACTACTTGTTTTAGTATGCTGGGCTGTCAGCTGCAGACCAGCTAAGGCTTATTCTGGGTAATTCGTTTGCATCTGTTCCTGTAATAAGGATATGAGAAAGACAGGCTGCAAACTTTGTCATAGAGTTTGAGGATGGAAAATAGAACAAAGCCAAAACAAGAACAGCAAATAATATCTACTGTTTTTTTTTTTTAATTAAATTTTTGTCACTGCATATTATGGCTTTATATACATCTCTCCAGCAATAATTTAATTAAGCTAATATAGACCGTAAATTAGATCCTTTATTCTTATTGTTTTCTATTTGTACGGCTTGAGAATATTCTCAACTCTATCTGATGTCACCAGAAACATCTGGTCACACTTTTTATATCCTGATACTAAGCATGCCACCTGCCCGGATATGCAAACTAATATAGACTTATACAAACTGGGCTATTAATTTCAATAATTCTGAGATATACTAATTATGGGTTTTATATAATTTTATATAATAATATCATAAATTGTCTTTTATTACAATTTATATCTGAAGGATGGATTTGTTTCTCCCAAATAAATTTTTGGAAAACTAAAAACTCAACTAAAAATTGTTTTAGAATGACAGAAATCTCCCATTACACCATTGTGTGGTAAAAACACAGAAAGCGCTATGCTGTAGAGTCTTATCTGGTCATAGCATGTCCCTATACTAATAGTATCACCTCCTTTATCCACCTTTTCTGTAAGTTGTGTGCAGTAAGGAAGAACCTGAAACCCTCTGTACCTTTGACCCTTTGTTAAAACAGGAAGAAGTCATCTAATTTAAAAGTGTCTTGGCTGCAAAAACAACAGACAGTTAAGGGTTGGTTGGCATTATATTTATCTGGGTGGAAAAAAGGTTGGCAACAATCTGGAAGTATCTGTGTGTGTAGCTTTAAAATGAACAACTGACTGCAAGACTGGCAAAAAAGTAGAAAAACTGGCTAATTAATTATTAAAGATCTCTGGTCAGGCTATAAACCTTATACTAATAAAAGAAAAATAACAGAAAAACTAACACTCTAATTTACTTTACCTCTAAAATCCAATTTATCTGATACTATTTCCATATAGTTAATTTTAAAAAGAGAATGGCTGCTAACACACTCACTTGTGTGCTATTGTTACCAAGTTTAATACTTTGATATCTAGCTTGTTAAAGCTTTAAAAATTGTTAAAGAACTAAATATTGTACTGACACAGTTATCTGAAAGCAGTAGTAATAGTTGTAGTATGTTGTGTTCTTAAATTAAATCAATCAGGTTATATAATAAGTTAAGGTTATTTTGTAAGACTTTTCTTTAAAACATCTAAAATATTATAAGGAGAGTGCAAGGAAATTATTTTAGCATTTATTATGTTAAATGCCTATAAGTTGACAAAAAGGAAAACATGACAAATAGTCAGTTTGTGTTCAAAGATGTAATCACATCACACTCGTGATGTAAGAATACAGGTATTAACAGTAATGAAGGTCAGACCACGGAGCAGCCAGTTGTCACATAATCAAGAATTAACTTTCACAACCCAGATGGTGAAACCTTAAACTGGAGGTAACTGATACCAGAGTCAAGGGAAACTGATCCTGGGCATCTACAAATGAACAGAAGCTGACACAATTCCACAAGGTTGTGACAAGTGAGCATCGAAGTACTACAAGTGTGACACAGAAAGCCCTTTTAGACGGCCCGGATCTTGCTTGTTTGCAAATACAGTCAAGTAGATGAGGGTGAATGAGATAAGAGGACATGTGGTGGGAGGAAATTTCCATCACTATGCAAAACAAACCCAACAATCAGCCCAGGTCATTTCACATTCAGTACAAAGCACAAATGTCTCACACTTCTTGTTCCACCAAGTATCTTTCTAACATCTCCTCCAGCTCTCCTTTTTCCTGTTCCTCTGAAGACAAAGAGCAGACAGTAAATGTCACAAGTTACCCCTGCGTCCCTGCTTGTAGACCGGTTGGCCTAGTTAGGGTTGCTGACTAAATGCTGCAAGACTGAGCGGGATACTTTCAGGACAACCTCACCCAGCTCTGCATGTGCTCCAGGAAGCTGGAATTCTATATAGAGCACACACAAAAAAAAATACTTCAAAAGGAAGATGCAAAAACCAGTGAGGAGTAGCCTCTCAAACTGTGAAGAAAGTCCGAGATTTACTTCAAAGACTAAAGGAAATCTTTAGATTTCCTGTTATGAGCCTGCTAACCCTCCTCTGTTTAACTCAGTATTTTTACTTACTGCTCTTACAAGATAAACTATACCAAACTTTTAAAAGAGAGCTCTTTCTTTTCGGTATCCCTTGGGACCAGGTTGCCAGGGGGTAAACCATAGCAATTTTATGTTTGTGCAGCCTTGCAAGTAAATCCAGTGTTTTTACCAATATTTGAAAGATGCATACAGTTCCAATACATTTTCGGATGTTGCCTTGGACTGATGGATATTCAGGATCAGGGTGCAGATGAGCTGCTGGGTGAAGGTAGACTTACCAATCCGGTTTCCTGGTGGGCGGCACGAATCCAGCATTCGAAGCATACGGAACGGCGACAACCTCAGAGGGGCGTCTCTCTCCCCCATCCTCATCCCCTCTCCCACTCTAGCCTCTCCCACCTTGGAGTCTCCCACCCTGGGAGCAGGTCCAGAACACCCTTGGGTATTGTCTGACATATCCGTTCTTGAAGAAGACTCACGGCACTAACATTTGAATATCTTCAAATGTTCAGAAAAGCATTTCACGCAGTACAAAAACTAAATCCAGGCCCTCTCAAGGAACTGAGGTCACTTCAGATGAGGTTTTAGTCAATAAATCCAGGCAAGAGTCTTGTTTTAGAAGCTGTGGACAATTAAAGGTCCAGGCTTTCCGTCTGACAAAAATCCAGTCTACTGTATTGCCACAGGAACTCCACGCAGAGGTCTTAAGATTGTGAGGACAGTGCAGGCGCACTAATCACAGCAACAACTCCCTTAGCTGCAACTCCACTTCAACATCCTGTCTCCCTTTCAGGGTGTTTTTCTGTAGACTCACTCTCCGTTCACTTCTCTTGCTTTCTCTCCTCTTTCTCTCTGCAGTCACACTCCTCCTGCTGACTAAGGAAGGTCAAACAGCGTGCAGGTAGGTAAAACGCTGCAGAGATTGCCCAGTGCATGCGATGTCTCAGAATAACAGGTGCTCTGTCTTCATTTGTATCTTCATGACACAAGCAAGCAAACACGTGCAGAGATTCACAACACATTCATCTTACCCCTGCCAGGGAAGACAACAGTTTCATCTGTCACATGCTCAACTATCTGACCTCATCGGCTACCAGATCTTCTGTATCCGTTAGTACTTTTCTTTTCACGTGACGTCCCGATTCCTCTTGTCCTTGTTTTTTTTCTCTCTCTCTCTCTTGTTGTGTCAGATGTTTTTTCTCATGTCCTCTGCGGTCCCACTGTTGTTCTGCACACCACTCTATCCAGGCTGTTATGCTGCTCCCTTCCACTTCCCTCTCTCGATCACTCCCTCCTTGCCTGTGGCGCTCCTATCAGTGCTTCAGTCCTCTCCCTGCCTCCCTTCACCTTGCCATTACTCCCCTCCCTCTCATGTGATAGCAGTCGCTTTCTCTCCGCCTCCTCTTGTTACCATCTCTCCCTCGCTCGCGCCGAGATCGGCGATGGTATTGAAGATCGGTGCTGTCTTTCGAGTCATGAGCTGATGACAACGTTTTCTGCATGATCAGCCTCTTTCTCAATCCCATCCCAGTTCCCCTCCTCTCTCTCATGTTCACTGGCTCTCTACTCTCTGGCTCCTTGCTCTTATCACTCTCTATGGATAAAATTAAACCCTGAGGCTTTTTGATAGATGCCTCTGGCATCTTAGCAGCTTTTCCACTTTTTCTCTCTGTCCTTCCACATGGGCGTGACACAGCGCAGTGTTTTGGGACCAAGTATCACAGCTCATCTCTCTAACATGTCTTACCTCACATGCAGAAAATGTTCCCACCTAAAAAGACATATCACCTACGTTGACTGTTTGACTCTAGCTTACAGATAACTGAATTCTAGGGCTGCACATTATCAGGAAAATCTGTAATACTACTGCTGAATACAAAGACAATAGACAATTTTGGCAAGTAAATATGCATTAAGGTTTGTCAAGGGCATAGAAAGTCCTTACAACACAACTGATACACCACTGGCATACAGAATGTCCATGCTTGAGATATAACATTAGACGAAATATTGAATAGAAGCAGTGCTTTGAGATCCCAATATTGCAAACACTGAAAATGTGATTGCAGCTTAGCTTTGTGTGCAGTACTATACAAATACAGCATTAAATAGAAGTATGAAAATGCATCAGTCAAGGCAACTTTAAGTGATTAGCATTGGAGTTGAGTAACCAGAAGCCAAACTACAGGTTGTTGTTGTATTGTTTATAATTTTGTCAGACACATAGACAACAAGTGAGTTCTGTGGCCTCATTTGTGCAATCAGCTTATAAATTTAATTTGTTTAAATTAAAAAACAGTATTTATAAGCTGTGCACATTATTTTATCTAGCAAGTCTATGCTTCTCTAACCCCTTATTATTATTCTTTCAATGATATTCATAGTGAACATTGTCTTTGTCTGTGTTCAGGAAACAATTCATATGAGGGATCGATGTTCGTTAAATCTTGACAAGTTACAAACCAAAAATAAGTTCATAAAACTTTGTTTTTTCCTTTACTGAAAACGCGCTAAAATATGTGACAACCTCAATTATCATCAACCTGTCCTAAAAGAAAGACAAAACATACAGGGGCTGGTGCAGAGAAAGGATCAGCCAGAGCAAGGCATGAGTGTACTGACAAACATGATACATTTTTACTGAGCAAAGGTCTCTGTACCAAATAAAGCTGTAAAAGTTTTACAAGCAAGTTTTGCTTATATAAACCAATTAGGATCTGAAAACTGCAAACGTTATCTGTTATCCAGTTCATGCTTAAAGGACTTTGAATGAATTTGCAGCACAAACTCAAAGTAACCAGTGTTTTCCTCAGCTTTATGGAGCACACCTCTCTGCTTGCCCCACTGCGTGCATTTCCTGTTGTTTAACATCTTTGTGTAAGAAGTGTGAGAATCAATTTCTTAATGAAAACAATTATTGATGCAAAATTGACTAAATAGAATGTAACTGAGCTTTTCTCACTGAAAATAGTTTTGATATGTTTTCTTTGTCAAAACAAATTAAATGTTTGATTTAGAAGGTCTTTCTGAAGGAAGTGCTTCATTTTCAGTGATTGTCAAGTGTGTGTGGATTGTGGGCAAAGTATAAAACTTATACTTACACAGGGGTCTACCATTAAGTTGGCTGTGAGGCGAGTGTTTATACATTTATCTATTTTGGGAGTAGGGATCAAAACAACAGCTTCACACCTAAGGAAAGGATCTCACTAAACTTTGCAGGTGTGTAATTGAGTCTTTAAAGGTAGACGTTAAAGACGGATGTGGTTTGGCCCGTCGGTGCAGAGAGCTTCTGTAATAATAAGTGTTGATGACTAAATACTCATGGGTGCCAGGTTGACGGCGGTAATCTCCTCTTTTTCAGATTGTCATGCATATTTCCCTCCAGGTTTTCTTTGCAAGAAGGATCCTCGGTACAGCAGAAGATAACGCCTTAAAGAAGTATTTAGACAAAGTGGGACGTCTTGGATGGATACTTCATCTAAATGTCAACAAGATAAAGTCATAAAAGGCCATCTTTCCTCATAATAATTAACACTATAAAGAGCTGATCCACAAGCTGGTGATAGATAAAGCCTCACATCCTCCTTCCCGTCGGTTTTCAGGCTGTCTTGTAAACATTAACTAAGAAAACACTCTCATTCAGAGGCTCCCACACCCTACTTGTCAATAATGATAAACCTAATAGCCATCCATTCACGGCTGATGTCGGTTTGTTTATTGTAAATACATTGGCTAATTCAAGTATTTCCTAAAATAACAGACAAATAAGATTTTAAAAATGTCTGCGTGTGGAGGGGAGACTAAAAAGTATTTGTAAGACATGTAAGCATTTTGGTGTTTGCTTTTTCGAAAATCTGCACGCCGTGTTTCAGTAGTCACACTGTTTCTTAGACTAGAACTCGGGTCGCTTACAATGAGCTGCAAATAAAGTGATGGCTTCCAAAGATGAATCCTTTAGCTTCAGGCTGGATAAAACATCAAGGATAAAAAGCTCTCCACTCAGCCCTTCACCCAGCACTGTTTCCACGTCGCTTTACGTTCACAGACACAATGTCAGACTCGAAACAATTTCCCGTTCATCTGCAACCGTCCCACACCGCTTTTTGCTCCCACATAGGCCTCATTCACCATCATACTGCCACCTTCTTTTAAACATTTCTACAGTCAAATTATTTCACATAAAACAGTGTTGTCACATTTTCTTCCTAAAAATAACATATAATGCAGCTCGTCTCTACACTAAGCCGACAATAACAATCAAAGTACATTTTTTGTCCCTGAGGAATATGCATAAAAGAGAACCATACGCACAAGCCTTGGAGGGGTTGGGAGATTTTTAGTCTCCAGTAATTACCTCTAAAGCTCTTCTCTGCATCTAAGGAATGTTATTATTCAATTACTGGGACTCGAGTGCCTCCCGTAAGCTTCAAGCTCTGTTTACGTTGATCCCCAATATCCCAAACCCCCAAAGAACACATTTGCACATTCGGCTTTGGAAATTACCAGCATTCATTAGCAACGTCTCGCTTAAGCCTCAAGCGAGCTTACAACACCAATCACAAAACAAAATGAGTCCGCCCCATTGTTCTTATCAAGTCCAATCCAAGAACCCGTAAATGGATAGCGGGGAGCACAGTGTGTGAGGGAGAGGTTTCCAGTTATTAATGCAGTATTAATGTGCTACATTTAATCCCTTTCACTGATGAGGTCTCTGAACGTGTGCAAATTGCAGGGGGAAAAATTTCTTTTATCTTTGCATTTAATATTTAAATTCAGTATCTTATGTACAAAGAGAGAAAGAGGGGAAAGGGGGAGCAAAGGAGAGGAGACATCTGTGACATTATCAAAAATAGCAGCTTGCGACGCGTTTGGAGACGAGTCGGCGGCTTTTAGCAGAGTTGTTCTCTCTGCGAAACCGACAGGATGGCCGACTAATCCTCAACAGTGTAACTACAGATTTTCACACAAACACAAAGGCAGAGATGAGGCTGAAAACTGCATCGCTAATCGTTCCTCGCTGCATGTGTGGGTGTCGCCCTATTTAGCAACAGATTAATGCAAACCTGTGAGTTGGGCACACACTTCTAGAGAACAGAATTGCCACGAAATGCCACGTTATTTACCGACCTGTGTCTGTCCATACAGCCATGGTAAAAAAAAAAGAAAAAATACAATCTCTTTCAGTTCCAAGGCTTTGTAACTGTTCTTATTCAGTCTTAAAAATGGATACCTCGATATGAGTTAACCTTTTACATTGTAATTTATACTGTAACAAGAAGTGCAGAAATTGCACATAAAAAGCTAATCGCACCCAATGATTTGATCAATTTTCAAGCAAGTTGTAGAAGTAATATCTTATGGGTCTTGTGTCACAGTGTTTGAATAGTTTTTTTTACAACCTTGCTTCTGTCTATTAAAGTTTACAGGCCATTATTTATACGCTGTCCTTCGTAGTTTCTGCCTAAACATTTACAGCAGGTTCCGGTCTGAACTTCCACCAGGCCCCTAACGCTCATCCATCCATTTATTTTTCAGTGATTCTGTTCAGGGTTGGCTTCTTGTCTGATTGAACAGTGCCTCAAATTTGACTCTGCAGCTGCTGGTCCTGATTTGAAGGAACTCAGTGTTTTGACTGTTTTGCAGTTTTCTGGAAGTTTGTTCCAAATTGGTGAAGCATAAAAACCATGTGCTGCTTCTGGTTCTGGTTCTGGAGATGCAGAGTAGACTGGAACTAGAAGACCTTAGTGATCTGGAAGGTTGATACAACAACAACACTATAACGTATTTTGGTGCTAAGGCATTCGGTGATTAAAACTAAGGGATCTAAGATCTGTGTTTCTGCTGGTAATACTTCAAAACATTGCAAACCTGTACTTCTTTTTAAGTTAAGAGGTCTAATAAATGATTCCTACATGATTTTTTTCTGGTGAATACTATAATTTTTCTGGTCTCAAATTTCCATCTACGCAAGACCGTTGGATGGTTGGATGGTTGGATGGTTGGATGGATGGATGGATGGATGGATGGATGGATGGATGGATTAAAGCATACTTGTTAGAATTTCAAATATGTATCATGTAGGCACTAAGACAGGAAATAAGACAGGTCTCTACTCTAATTCCATTTCACATTTATTTCTACACTTGACTTAAATTTTAAATTGTTCCATAGGAGCCGTGTTTACACAGAACAAGCTAAGTGAGGCCTGTGGAGGCTGAGGTGTAGTTTCTGCATATTTGGGTGAGATTTTAGTTGGTTTTGAACAGCCTGACCTTAGAGTAAAGCTGCTGAAATAACCACTTTGAGGAAGATTAGCAGCTGTTCTCTGTATTTTCCACTT